ATTACCATCCATATTTACTGATGTAATTTTAAGAAGTGTAATAACCGAGTTTAATTTGAATTTTCTCCTATTTAGTTTTAACATTACTTGTCCACTTTTAACTTCACTTTGGAGGTAATGTTTAATATATCAGTTTTGACGTATGTAAACCAGATAAATTAATGAACCTACAAGAAATTGATATATATATCTACTATATATATTAAATCAACCTATCAAATATCGGATTTAAGAGAAGATACTACAGTACTAATATTAATTTGTATCGCAGTTTAAATTTTTTTTTTTGTTTGTTTAGATAAATATTTATGAATTTTCTTATATCTTAAATTTCAAATTCAACATTTTAGATAAATAGTTCTAATCTAATTTTAAAATTCTTTTCATTGAATCCCAAAATTCGGCTTGTTAAACGGTTCTAAATTCATACAAATATTGTTATAATATATGTCATATTAAGCCGTTATTTACTTTTCCAATTTTTAATCACTGAACTTGAAGTTACTTAACTTTCTTACAGACTCCATATTTTAAGAAATATAAGAAATGTTAAAAAATTTATTTTGTTTTCCAATACTTCTCTCACCGATATGCAATGAAACACATTTAATTTAATTAAACACATACACGTTTAATTAATCATTATGAACATATGAAACATGTTCATAATTATACAAAAAATTTCTAACTTCCTTCTATTCATCGCTTAAAATTTTTAATGTCCTGTTCACCCATTTCTTTTTAAACTTGCATTATATATTTTCTTTTGCTATACATTAGAATTTGTATATTGTTGTATTGTATTCATCCAATTTGTATTTAAATGATAATTTTTAGAAAGTTCTGCATCATAACTCTAGTTAACAGAAGATGTTTCTAACGTCTTCGTGTTGATGAATCGTTAGTATGCATCTTATTTTTCAGTTTAGGTTTAGGTTTCAATAAAACTATTTTTAAAGAGAGATGACGCTGAGTTATGCTAATAATATCTCTAACTGTCGCTATTTATAATACAAGTTAACGTGATTAATAGTATAGCTCATTTACAATTTTTATAAAAATTTCCAGCCATACCGGAAATAATAGCAAATGCTCCTAATATTTTGATTACATTTTCTTCTTCCTTTTATATTTTGTGATATAATGTTTCATGATTGCATAGAGATAAATATAATTCATTTACCAGATATGTAAATCTATATTCAGCGCACTTTTGCGTTTACTAATATTGTACCTTCTATCTTCTTTAATATATTGTTCAACACACAGCATCTCATAAGACTAATTTCAAGAGCTGTGCGTTCACCAGCGATCAAGCGGTAAAGTCATTAAACATTGGTAATTTTGATCGAAGTTTTTCAACATTCGTGGCTCATATGTAACGTGAGTACGAGCCAGTTTATCTTGAAAATTTGCTCCTACTAGTGACCGAATTGAAAACCGCTGTACGCTAGGTTCAATCGCAGGCGAACAAGTTGGCTGAGGCAGATATCCTTCGGGTACTTTGCCATAACATACAAACCAAGAGCTCTTTCTTTTGTGTGAATATGTAAATATTTATACTGTTATCGGGTTGTGTGAGGACGATAGTAGAGTTCTTGAGTAGTCTACATAAAGGCATTATAGTGAAATGAAATTTTAAAGTGCTAGGTTAAAATCACTGTTAATTTCGAGAAATTGGTGTGTTAATTACTGAATCCATTGCATTCGTGATTTGTAACTTGTATATATTTGTTTCAGATATTAATTAGTAATGTGTCATTCCTATTTTTTGTACTATGCTGAACTGCTTTAGTATTTAGGACTGAATCATTTTCCATTAGTTTGGCTAGTTATTGTTGCAAATATTTCAAAACTACATATTTCAGAGAATTTCTATGTAAATTTGATTATTACAGTGCAAAAATAGTGTGAAATATGTAAAATAGTGTGAATATATAAATATATGTTATCGAGCTGGTTTATTATGTTATCGAGCTGTGTGAGGACGATAATAGAGTTCTTGAGTAGTTTACATAAAGGCGTTATTGCGAATTTTAACGTGCTAGGTTAAAGTTACTGTTAGTATAGAGAAATTGGTATAAAATTATTCAATCCATTGCATCAGTGATTTGTAATTTGCTTATATTTGTTTACATGAAATTTTTAATTATTTAATAATGTGTGATTCCCATTTTTGTACTGTGCTGAACTATTTTAGTGTTTTGTATTGAATCGTTTTCTATTAGTATCATTTATTAGTATGAGTAACTATTGCTGCAAATATTGAAAAAATGCCTATTTCAGGGAAAATGTAAATTTGATTATTTCATTGCACCGGAGAGACAGCTGCATTAGGAGGGTTCGCGAGGTTTTTATCCGTGTAACTTTTGATATGTATGTCGGGCCTCCGCCCACCAGCGGCCGAGCGTAAAGTCGCTGAACACTGGTAGTTCGGTCCGAGGTTCGAATCCCGCGAACGGGCTGGCTGCATGGGTGTTTTCGTGGTTTTCCCCATGTGTAACGTGTATACGAGCCAGTTTCCCTTAGAAAGTCCTCCACGAAGGCATCCCTCCCCTTAGGCAGATAGCCCTAGTGTGCTTTGCCATAATTAAATACACCGTATGTCGGGCCTCCAGCGGCTGAGCGGTAAACTCTGAACACTGGTAGTTCGGTCAGGGGTTAGAATCCCGGCGAATTTGCTGGCTCCATGGGCGTTTCCGTCGTTTCACTCATGCGTTATTTGCATACAAGCCAATTACTCTTCGAAAGCCCTCAGCGAAGGCATCTCTCTTCTTAGGCAGATAGCCCTCTTATGCTTTGCCGTAAGTAAAGAAACTAAACAATTTGTTATGTATATTTCTTTTATAACAAAAATGGCACATAAAGAATTTCATTCTATAAAATGGATTTTACATTTTATCTCAAACCCTACCTATTTCTATGTTTATTAAAAAAATTGAAATTTGTTAAAGAAACTTAAAGGAAGATAAGTGAGGGCGGCAGTTTCTGCCCCGCGTAGGAAAAATGCTAAGTCCGGCGCTGGCCTGGGATCGAGGCATCTGAGCTAGGAAAGTTTTCCTCGTGGGCTGCTTTTCTTTTCAAATTTTGTCTTATACTCGCTGCAACCTCTATAGTTGCTCATGTGACAGAGACCGTAGAAAATACATTTTGGCTATCTTCAGGTTTCATGGTGCATTGATTGCTTCGATGTTGTTGCCGGCACTTCACAGATCTAATGGGATTACTGCAACAGAATTGAGAATGTATGATTTGCTGGCAGCGGTAGCACTGGACTGGCCTTTTCTTGGGGTTGAATTTTTCTATGGTGACGTTGAAACTGAACATATTATTGAGCTGGTGAATCTTATTTCTTTCGGGTGATCTTTTTATTTCCAGTAGGTAGATGGGAAGTTTAATTTTTTGTCCTCCATGATTTTTGGAAAACTGCTTGACTTTTTCGATAGGATAGTTCCTGAGTTTAAGGTCTTGGTGTATTGGCGTCTTCTTTGATAGTATCGGGAAAGTTCTTCATAACAACCCGAATCGGTTTTTCGAATTCTAACTGGTAGGAGTGATAGGGAATCTTTTTTATTTTTCAAGTAGAAGTTCATTCATCGTGCTATAATCTTTCAGGTTCTCTTGGTGTATGCGAAGATGGATTTTCCTCTCATTTGGAATTCGTGGAGATCTGTACAATTTAGCGAGAATCTTTCATCCAAAGTCATCCAATCGATTTCATGTTGGGAAAATACAATGGATGGAGGAGGGTTATCAGCGTTGGCTCCTCCTTCGGGAATTTCCTCTGTGATTTTCCTGAGTAATTGAAAACGGTTCTCTAAGTAGAATATCCATCGGAGTCTCCTTTACTTGAATTTTCGCCGCCTTCTTTGGGGTAATCCAATAACTTTCATTATCCAGGATTGTGGCGATTAGCTCCGTTCGCTGCCTCTTGCTAACGATTTACTTAGGTTTCCTGCATGTTCCAACACAAATTCGTTCTGTTCTTCGGGGGTTTTGCTTTTTTTAATCGTAGCTCGAATTCCAAGTGTTGTGTCACATAATCAGCTCCGAATTCCTGCATAACGTCCTGTATTTTTTCTTCTCTGGCTCTTTCTGTATTCTTAATTTCTTTCTCCGAATTCGCATTCTCCTTTTTTGTTTTCGCTTTTTTCCTGAGTCTGGCATCCTTCAAAAATTCCTCACGTTTTGAAGTAGATGGCAGAGACAAAGTCGATAATCCAGAATCCGTGCAGTCACTAGCTTTATCATCCGTATTTACTGCCTTAAAAAGGGGCATGCTTACCGTGAAACCCTACGGGATCACTCGCCGAAGTCTAAAAGATACTCAGTAAACTATAAGTAAACTCACTGACCGCCTACGGGACTGGGTCAGTTCCTAGAAAATTGAGCAGTAAATCAAAGTGCGTCCAACACGCTCAGAGTCACAGCTCGGAAAATGCGTAGACTACAGAAGTGCATTCTTTCATAGCCTCTTTGCCTCAAACAGACAACGCAGTTCATTATAAAAAGGAGCTTCTACTTCTAGTGGTACGAAGTTCCTCCTAATAAGAATATAATGTTGGTGATTTGATTTTAAAATCCATTCCGTTTAATTGTGAAACTTGTATTCTTCATAACCTAGTTAAAAGTTATCACAATCGTTCTTCAAAAGATTAATGTAAAAGCTAATTTTAAGAGATTTTCAATCATTGGGTATATCATGTAATATTTATTTATGAAGTCAAGTTAAGCAACTCTAAAATTTTCTGATTGGCAAACGTTAATCTTTAATAGTTTTGTATTAATCTTTAAAAGTCTGGTTTAGTTAACGTATACCAGTTGATCCGGATTATCAATTCCAAATGCGAAAACACGATTTTCGTTTTGTTGCTTTACCTTTCAGAAACTCTCGTATGAATGTTTACGATATCCTGTTTGAGTTCTGGCGTAAGGCAACTGTCGCGTTTAATGTAACATAGGTTTCGGCCCACAGCCTCCATGTTAGAAGGTTGCTCAAAATGTGTCCTGGTGCCGAAGGGTTCCCGCCTGATGGAGATCGAAACAACCGTACGGACGAAAGCGTCACTACGGATATTGATCCCAACAACTCGACTGCTAATGGAGTGGTCAGTACTTCTGGTGAAACTGAATATAATACTCATACATTATACATCATACAAAATAATACTCATACATTATACATCATACAAAATAATACTCATACATTATACATCATACAAAATAATACTCATACATTATACAACATACAAAATAATACTCATACATTATAAATCGTACAAAATAAGTGGATTTACAAATCGAAAGCGCTAAGATTTACAGCAAAGCCCGTGAACAGAGACGTTCTGTCGCCGATGGAGATAAACAAATAGAGACTACAGTTACGTTTCTCTTGGAATTAAACTGGGATGTCCACGAACACTAGAGGTACGTATAGTTTAACTTGCACTACAGGCACTGCTCTACTTTAAACGTAAAAATGATGTTTTTAAGACTAAACGTATAAGTGGTACTGCTGAAAATTGCAATATTAATACTAAACAAAACTAAACTAAACTCAGCGGAGCAGGAGCCCTCAGAGAGCTAAGGACGGCTTTGCCATGATATCTGCTTTCTAGACCGTGGGCCCAGGAGTGCATGACACTATGCCCCAGACAAGAGGTCAGCTTGTCGCAGGATTTCCCGTGTTTAGTCTCCAAGCAAATTTGATACTCATTTTATGGACCCACTCAAGGGAAAAAAGGCTGAGTCAACCTTACCCAGACCGGAGACATATTAATTCTTCTGTGGCGTTACATTAAACTGATACATAGCTTAAAATTCATACTATACCTAAGCCCATTTAAAGTAGTAAATCATATCATGTTTTGAATAATGAAAATGTTTATAATAATAATGCAACCCCAGAGGTTCAGGCTGTACAACAGCAGGCGAACAATAGCCTGCCCCGCCTCTTCCTTCCATCTTAGTTAACCCTGCCAGTCTATCACATGGAGGAAATTTCGTAAAAGCTGACAGAGAGCACTGATGCTAAATTTCTGGGGAATTGAATGGAGAATTCATAAAGATTCTTCATCATAATGAAAATAATCATTGTATACTTAGTGTTTGTTCAAAAAGCAAGGTGTTCAACATTATGGTTTAAGTGCCAAATATGCTACATATATTAAGAGTGTGTTTCGTGGATTAATCTGTAATTAGTTTCTACGAAACAGCGATTTTAATAACTCAACTGACTTTTTATAATTTTCTTAAATCAATAGTAGACTTCCTACGGAAGTTTCGACATCCCGTGTTAAATATGTTTGTAAGTAATTAAACTATTTTGCATCATTTAGCAATTCGTTATCGTGAATAGTAGTTTTAAACTGAGCCCAAAAATTTTGTCATTTGGGTGTTTTGCCGTCAAATTTTTTGATTACTAAACTTGGAATTTTAAACTGAACAGAATTTAAACCCGATATTGTCGAATTATGTTACATAGAATTATTGTGCACTTTAATTTCACGTGAGACATCTGTTTATGCGCGCCTTTTGCAAATTAAAATGTTTTCTTTGTAAATTTTAGTAGATGTTATATCCTTTTCTAATTGATACGAAACTGGCATATCTAATTATACTTCATTATTTTAGTGTACCGAATTTCGCTCTTTCTCCGTTAGTACTCAAAACAGTTCTTCAGTTATTTGTGTTCGAGTGAGTAACATTAATTGTGTTTCTAATTTTTGAATAAATTTTGTTGTACCTGCGTGCCATGCGCCGTACGATTCTGTATATTCTTATCAAAGTTTTCCATGTAAAAAAGAAAAATTTCACGTACCTCTTTTTTTTATTTCAAACAATTCTTTTTTATCTTCTATTTTCCTGAAAATCCGGACGTTCGTGCATGACATTTGTGTGGTAACTCTTTATATCACCATTTGTTAGATTTCCTTTCGAGTATAAAATCCTGAGGCAAGTGATGATTCCGCTCCTTATTAATACACGGATATTTATCTGCATACAACCATAATCATTAAGCATGATCCTACGGTATTGTTAGGCTTAACACCTTCGTTCTTCATATAGTAATTAGGCTATGAAATAACTCCAGAGACAGGACGTTCGGAGTGCATCTAACGGCTGGAGCTAACAAATCATGATATCTAGTAGAAAAAATCCAAACCACACTAATCAGAGATTTGCAAAATGTTTTCACACCACTTTTCTCAGGTAGACAACGGAATTTAATGAAGAAGAAAGTCGTTTTGGTATGCATGATAGACAGAGCTTAATTTTTAAACTATTTTAGCAAAACTGTATGATAAAAAACTGGCAGGTAGAAATTTTCCACTGCTATTTTTTCCTAATAAGAATAATGTTGGTAATTTTATTCCATTTCATTGTCAAACCTGTAGTCTTTATAAGATAGTTAAAAGTTATAGATAAATACAAATTTCAAGAGCTTTTAATCACTGGAAATATCAGGTAATATTTATTTATAAAATGAAGCAAAGCAACTGTAAAACATTCTTCCGCTTTCAGATGCGCGGGAGAAAGTAACTCTCTGGAATCCACTGCTAGGCCCAACTTGGGATACATCAAGAACGGGCAAGAGCAGGTTAATACATCGCATGCTGAAAACCAGTAAAACACATAATAAGTTCCATAGTTCCAAAGTAAAATTTTCTAATCGAAAAACGCTCAACTTATACAGTTTTATATTAATCTACCCGTTTTGTATTTACCTTTGAGAAACTCTCGTGTGAATGTTTATTATATCCCTTTTGTGTTTTGGAACAAAGCAACTGTGGCGATTTGTAACATATATAGTTTTGGTTCTCAGCCTCCGTACCAGTTGCTTGCTGCTCAAAATGAGTAGCGGTGAAGTGTTCCCGCCTGACGGGGGGCGATCCAGACAACCGTATGAAGTTCACTACGGAGATTGATCCTAATAACTAGACTGTTACTGAAGTGTTCGATACTGATGAAGCAATTAAATAAAATATTCGTGAATATACGACACAGCGTACGCAAGAATTGGATTTACAAATCGAAAGTGCTAATATTTATCTCAAGCCTGCCAACAGAGACCTTCTGTCTTCGACGAGGATAGAGCTACGAAGGCTACAATTAAGCTTCTCTAGTAATTGCGCTGATAAGCCAACGAACTCAGAGGGCTACGTATGATTTAACCTTCACTACAGGCATTGCTCTGCTTAAACATTAATCTGACCTTCTTGAGACTAAACGTAAAATTTCTACTCCTGAAACTTTTAAAATTGATACTGACGGTTTTAAATTAGCCACTAATCTGATAATTACTTTAAAATTTATACTATACTTTATTCTAGTGAAAGTAGTAATTAATTTCATGTTTTGAATAATGAAAATCTTAATAAGAGTTATAATGTAACCCCTCTGGTTTACGTTATACAGCAGCCGGTGAAGCCAGTGTTACAGCAGCAACCAGTATTAGAAACCTTACTGGTAAAAATCAAACTTCTCAACTTCTTACTTAGTTTAAATATATGACTGAATTACATAAAATGTTTGAAAAATATAGGACTAAATTATGAATAATGTATTCAAAGTCCTATGATTAGGTTAAAAGAGGCTAGTTATCCTATTAGTAAAATGAATATATTTCTTGAAATGACTAATGAAATTAATATTCCATTGTATTCCACCATTGTATTTGTATTCCACGATAGTTACATAGAATACAAATGGTCGTCTCCGTAGAGTATATGAGGTCAAGGAATTTCCATATGAGTGCAGTCCTGACGTGGGTTTCATTCAAGAACATGCTTGGTCTTCACAAAGAATTCAGAGCCTGTAGCTATGCCAAACACAGATTAGATAGACCTACTGAAAGTAGATATGCACTGGAGGGGAAATGTCCGATGTGGCTTGCTTATTTTAGTGGAAACATTCCAATATTAATTATCTCAGGACACTTCCATGGATCTCACCTCTCGAAGTCGTAGCCACCACAGTCAATAGATTTCGTCCAATCACATTTATCGCTGCCTATATTCCGAAAAATAAATCAGTAGCAGACACGCACTATTCAACACACGCGCTATTCAACAGAAATAATACAATTATTCTAGAGTTTTTAATACACAGCACCGCGTTTCGAACTGCATTTCAATTAACAACTGCGATAGAACAATATACGATCATGCCGATGAACCAATATTTTAATTGTAGCTCCGCATAAACCAACATATTCTAACGCTCCCAGATCCACCGTTATTGAGTTCTTTCTTTTCAAAAATATTAACGCTCCGACTTAGATCGATAGATTATATCGATAGACTTAGATCGATAGATTATATAACTTTCTTAGGATCATAATTTGGCAATGGCGGAGATCAGCAATAATAGCTCCAGTACGAGCCCTTTCTGCTAACTGCGCAGGATATGCAACAGCCCTAGACAACACACAATGCATTTTTACCCGTACATATATACGAGAAATGAGTGAGATGATTTGACTAAAGAATTTACGAATGAATTACACTGCGCACTCACCCAAAACAGGAAGAAAGTTTCAGAAGAAAAATGATACAAAATCCTGCTTTAAAAGAACTGACTAAAAAAACCCATGGTAGGAAAACCCGGCAATGATTATGTTGTCCGCAAAATGAAAGAATCATGAATATACTCAATCGCAAGGTCAGGATCTTTATCAAAGTACAAACACAACTGTGCCTAACCAGATACTTAGAACCAGATTTGAGAGATGATAGTTCTGTCTGGAATGCTGTTTCTAAGTATAAAAGACGCAACACAAAGTGTTCCACCTCTTAATGGCCGTAACGGATCCCGTTACGGCCATTAAGAACATTCACCGAAATTTTGGAGAAAGTGTCTTTAGCAGATCACAAAGCATCTCAATTTTGGACTGACAAACATATCACAACCTCAAACAGAACGTGCTGTGGAATTACACAATATACAATTCTTTTCAAACACAAACAAAAAAACTACATTCCTGTTGTCATGTCCTCAGATGTGATTCGATTTATATCTCCGTACCTATAATTAAAGACTAGTACTTTGTATGCTATGAGGGCGTGGTAACTCGTGTGCTATATCGTATGAGTATTCGAGCGATGTTTTTAGATCATTGCTACAACCATTGCACATTTCTAATGTCTTAGCTTAAGAGATATCACTTTGAAAGTAGATACTTTTCGAAGGCGGTATTTGTACAATTTGAGCAGCTAGAAATTGCAATAGCAGGCTAAAACCCTGTATAGGAAGATGTGGACCTGTATAGCGTTTAGTAATCCTTTATTGTTCAATTTTAATATTTTCAATATAGTTACCACCCGATGTGTGTATCTGAAGCATTAAAACATGAATAATTAAAATGCGTAACCAGAATGCCATAAAAAATTCTTAACAAATCCACCAGTTTGATAAACAGAAAGAAAAAAAAAAAGAGGCCAAACATTTTATACCGTATAAGTGTAGAAAAAACTGGTATGTAAATGAACGGACAACATTTGTTTTTCATAAAGAGTATAAAATTTGTTTATTTAATATTAAAGTCCAATGCGCTTTTGTATAGATTCCTGGTTCCAGAAATTCAATGTGTTGCCGTCTTCGGCTTTGCGTTGTTGGGTACCAACTTACAGATGTGCATTTGTTTCGCATTTAATAGTACTTATAAGCCTAAAACGGACGTTTATCCAGAATAGGATATCTGCTCCGCAACGGCATTTTGCGTCGAAACACTTACATGCGCTATTCAATTTGTTGCCACAAAATATTATCGCCCAGAATAATATTTATAGAAGTTAAATAATGAAGATTCTGCATGAATGTACGTATGTTTCTCGCACTGTGAGAAAAGAACAGCACCTAGGGCCATACAATTTTGAATAGTGTAATTTCGCCACCCGTACACGGCCACCAGGACGGCCGAATCAGGAACTTATTTTATTTTTTATTTTCTATTTTGTAAAACTTTAACGAATTTTTGATTAATAATCTCAACGACTTCAAAGTGAGCAGTGGCAACACTGTACGGATTAACACATTTTTATCTCCGGCGGGCTAGACTGTCTATCGGAAATTCTAAAGATATGCTGTTTATAAATATTTTGTGATTTTGCTATTGAACCGAGTTTTAAGCGTAAACAATGTGATATTTGATAAATAAAGTTAACACAAAAAAAAGGTTAATAATAAAATCAAAATAAGTTTTGTAAGTGCACCTTAGTAAGAAATATGAACTGAGAAAAGACGGGGAAAAAACAGAGAAAAATGTATGCCAACACTTAACGGTATAACAAGAGTTCGAAGCATACACTGCTTTTATAATTTTTGTAAGTTGATGTTGAATGATAAGTGACGTAAATGCGAAGAAATTATATGCTTAGTATTAAAGTTAAAAGAAACAAAAAACGGGTTAATAGGAATGACTGTAAGAGTATAATAGTGGACTACGAACTGCGCAGGTGCGTGAAAAACCTTAATAAACCCTTCAGGCGATCGCCTAATTCTGAAAGTTTTCAGACTTCTCAACCCCCCCCTAAATATTTATTATGTAAATCAGCGATCAAAAAGCTTCGCTGATACAGTGAACATAAACAAACTACTTTTTTCTTGGTTGGGCTCTATGTCGAATTACGCTTCCCATAAATGTTTTTCGGTTTTCTTTCTCTCTTTTCCAGTTGGACAAAAATACTTAACGTTTGAAACAGAAATAAAAAAAATCCTGCTGAAACGTTTTAACGCACGCATGAAAAAAACTCTATAGCTGTAAGTATATATACTTATTCTATGGATATTTTAAAATATTTAATCTTTATATATCTGTTTTTCCAAATAAATATGAAATCCTGTGCTTATAAGCGCATTTTTTCATCTTTTCCTTCTAATTTTTCCGATTGAAAACTGGAAGAGCAAAATATATTCTATTTCTCAAAAGACGGCTTCGATGATAAATACAGCACATTAAAAAGCGCGCATTATGCACTAATAATTTTTATACATGTATTTCGAAGAACCTATCAATTTCAATAATAATATTTTTACTTATACAGAGTACTTCACTCTTTGTGCACACATCCTACATGGTTACCGTTAATCAGAAGTTTGTAACTCATTGAAACCATAGGTAAGAGAGGGAAATAAATACGAGAGTACATAAAGTTACGAATTTTGAATACAGGTAGATGATTTTAGCGCTATTATATATAAAATTATTGTCGTTTTTGTATAAATGTAACCTGAAAATCTGAGAGAAACGATTCGTCGCAGGAAAAATAAAAATACAGGGGCAAGTATCTTTACCATTGAGCAAATAGTAGGCTTCTAGCTGAATTGGCGAGATATCGCTTTTGTTTGGCTGGTGTAACAGCATACAACTGTGGCCTTTTTGTTCCTAATTATTTCACGAAGACATTTTAGTATTTCAATGTAGTCGTATTGATTAACAGTCTGATCACTGAAAACCCATTTAATCATGATCTGAAATTACATTCATTCATAGGAATATTATTCCTATATTTTCCAAAATAGTTTCATTTCTAGGTATTTTATTTCTAAATATAAACTTCTCTCAAATATTTCCTATTCACCACTACATCCAGAGTGTCCATAGCTTTTCTTTTTTGTTTTACTCACTCTCTCTCACGATGGATATTAACTGAATTTCACTGATAATTTTGACTGAAATGAGAAAGATTAAAAATAATGTTTTAAAACTGTAGCATTGGATATAACGAAAGGAGGAACCTGAAAATGTAATAGTACTACTTTGTTTAGTGTAAGCAATTTTCTCCCCGGAACAAAATTACATCAATTTTATACACAATTACCTCTCGCGTCTGTTGCTTGAAATTTTGTATAATAAATTCAGCTTTGTTAAATTCTGAAATGAGTAAATGCATCGAGATGCTGAAATTTGAAACAATAAAGCACTCTTGAAGAAATTTAATATTAGTTCCATTTGTAAACAACTGTTAACGAGGAAGTCAAAAATACCAACATATACAACACATCTCTCAAGGAATCTTTCACGATTAATCCAGTCTCCCTCTTTTAGATATTTTTTTCAGCTTTATATTTATTTCATTATCTTAAATCTATACAGTGTAATTTTTTCCATCAATAAACAAGGGATGAAAAGCTCTTAGTCGAAATGGAGAATTTAAAACGCCAGCGACAGATCCGTTGGTTCACTGGGTTAGGTGTTCATTAGCCTATCAGATCCCCATCAATGGAATCAACAAACATTAGATCTTAGTGCAATGTCTTCCAGACAAAAAAGACTTTGCGAAAAAATATTGACATTGCTATTTTTTCTTAGTTGAAGGAACCGTTCCCGTTTACGCATACGTTTGTGGAATATTTCTCTAAATCAGGATTTTCGAGCATTCTTATGAATTCGCACTGAATGGGGAATTGTCGGCACTAAATTTTCCAACAGAAGTTCGAAAGTATGTTACTGCAACATATACAGTTTATAAAAAAACAGAAAAATCTCCCAGCTGTCGCATCTTTCATTATAAAACCACCGCTTTACCTCTAAGACTAAGACGCAAAGCACTTTCATTAGCATGTGTTTGAAAAGAAGACAAGCCACATCACTTTCTTGCAAAAATAGCTAAATTGTTATAGCGTATAAGCTGAGGAGGAAACTGGTATGCAATAATGTATTTTTCTATAAACAGTAATTTAATAGTTTCGCCATCCGAAATTAGAATCTACACTTAGGAAAACATTATGATGTCAGATGGTAGCAACTCGTTCAAAATAACCCATCTCTCTAAGGAAAAATTTCGTCGTCAAACTCTTCTTCCGCGAAACTTAGCATGTAATCCCGAAACTATATCACGAGCAAGAAATTCCTTAGATATCAGATGATGATTTAGATAAGTCTGTCAAACAATTCTTCGAGTTAGAATCCTTTCCTGGTGATCACGCTAAAAATGTAAGTGATAAAACTTTTGAAAAGCAGTTCTGTGAGGAGCATTTCATTTCTACAAACAAGAGAATTGAAAATGGAAGATATATTGTAAGGTTACCAGTAACTGAAGATAAACTGCCGACGTTGGAAGCGTCAAAGGAAATAGCAGAAAGGCGATTAAACTTACTTTGGAAGAAATTATATAAGACATTTATGGATGAATATCTGTCCCTTGATCACATGGAAAAAATTAGAGACGATGAGTGTTCCAAAATAGAATATTATATCCCCCACCATGCCATTTTTCGTCCTGAGAGTACGTCAACTCCCCTCCGCGTCGTCTTTGATGCGTCTTCTAAATCAAGTAATGAAGTTTCTCTCAATTCTATATTGTTAAATGAAGGAACTGTACAACAAGAGTTATTTTCTGTTGTAGCCAGATTTCGCACTCATAGGTATGCATTTAGTGCAGACATCAAGAAAATGTATCGTCAGATACTAGTGGATGACAACTGATAGAGATTTACAACGGATATTGTGGAAACCGAGTATGTTTGCTCCCGTGGAGACATATATATTGAAAACAGTAACTTATAGAACATCATGTGCTCCATTTTTAGCAACTAGAACACTGCGAGCATTAGCGAAGGATGAACAAGGGAAATTTCCTCAGGCATCGAAGGTACTAATTAACGACACATACGTTGATGATTCCCTTAGAAGAGATGGGGGAAATGGATATTTCCTTTAAATAGTAGCATGTATACTAATTAAGATTAAATATGGACTCCATCATACTGCATCTTATGCCAGTACCCAGTTTTAATAAAATCAGGTAAGGATACGCCTCAAAAGGCTTACATAACATTATTTACATGCAGTGTGACTAGAGCTGTGTACATAGAATTAATCACAAATATGTCAACAAAAATTTTTATTTTGTCATTAAAAACTTTTTGGCTAGTACAGGAAATTTTAAAGTTACCGTTTTCAACAACGCTAACACATTTAGAGCCACTAATTAAACTCTAAAAGAATCTCCAAAAATTATAATAGACTCAAAATTAAATGATTTCATAGCAATAAACGGCCTAACATGGCAATATATTGCGCCTAACGCGTCTTGGTGGGTGGTTTTTATAAAAAGCTTATGAAAAGCATCAAAGAACCTTTAATAGAGGTTCTCGAAAGGGCTCTTCTTAACTTTGAAGAAGACTGTCAGAAATTGATTTACTTCTAAATCATAGACCTCTTACTCACAATGAAATAAAAGAGAAACAGGCGCTCACACCTGCCCATTTTTCGTTTTCAAAGGGCAAGAAAACGTTTCTTATCCTGTACATTTCACCGACCTTTTCAGGAATGGACCACTGAACAGGAAGACTTTGACTAGGAGAAAACTGTGCCAAACTAACTTTTTGAAACAAATATGGAAAAATTGCAAGGAGAATTATCTCCTCGAATTGCGGTCTGCGCACAATTTTCTATATCCATCTCCTGAGAGGAATCTAAAAACAGGTGAAGTTGTATTGCTGGAGGGGTCGATGAAATCAAAATTATTATGTATTTTTGGAATTATAGAAAACGTTTATAAGGGTAGAGATGTGTGTGTGCGTTCATGTTTGATTCGTACTTCTCAAGGGCTTTATCGAAGATCTGTCCAATTGATCTATCCTTTTGAAGTTTAAACATTATGTATAATATATGTGTCATTAAGCTACTGCCTTTATTGTCACCATTTTGACGGCATTTACTAACAGTGAACTCTGGAGATGTATAGCAAAATGAAAATTTTCTTATGTTATTAATTATTATTTTACCGGCGCGAAAGGTAGTTGATGAACATTTTTTTTAACCGAATCAGTTGGGCGTAAGGAATTGCACGCTTCAGCAACATCACATCGATGTGTATGGCGAAATGAAGCTTCAATCAAAGTGGACAGATTCTTTTGGACATGATCATCAACGACATCTCGTATATTTATTATTATTATTTTTGATTCTGACATGTAAAGCAGCTAAACATTCTTTATATCTAACATTCAGAATTAACATTACAGTTAACATTCAGTGTCATTAACAGCAGCTAAACATTCTTTATACTAGTGTCTTTCTTATTTGGTCTTGCATGCTAACGCACATAATCCTTCTTAAAAATAAACTTTGGTGCTCCCGATTTTCATTGTTTTGTTTTGGAAGATACAATCCAATGCACAACGGAAACAGCTTCAAAATGTATTTTTCAGTTCTCCCATTGATCTCCACTATTAAAAGCGCATTTAATCTCAATAAATTTAATAATTCGAAATCCTCTTTTCCTCCGAACTTAGAAGACTTCGTACGAACACCCATCAAATAAAATTACGAAATTCATTTGCCACTTCGTTTGACATACTTCCAGCCATCACGATGTGCAACATAACCGACTGAGACACCGTTACTTTCCTTCTGCGCATGCGTATAATTTCGCCAAGACTGGACAAATCTCCAAATTTAGTCTCGGGTTGCGTTTCCTAAACAGGAAATAAAATCCCGCAGCCGGGATATTGGTTAGCGCTGCTTACTGCCATTCCAAAGGGTCCGGGTTCGAATCCCGAAGAAGATATGGATGTTTGTAAATGAATATTGTACCTGCGGCATGAGAGCATTGCAAATATCCGGACGAGGCGAAAGTCCTCTCTGCAAGTTGCGTCTAGTTGGAAGATCGGAAGAAGATCGTTCTACAAGTCTCGCCGGGTTACTCAAGTTCAAATTTAGGCACTGAACTGAGCAAACTCGTACAGTCACCTACAAGGTGCGAATGATTCTTGCCGAAGACAAGCGCAATGTTGAATCCTTGCGACGATGGATTTCGTGGGCTTGATCTGATTCCGACAAACGAGATTAGTAACAATAACAATTATTTTATTACAAGTCCTCGGTTTAGATTTGTGTTATATTTTCGGTTATAAATAATAAGAATGTCTCAATAAACACTTATTTGAATTTTAATGAAATTTTTTAGTGATTATTGCTAAATAGTTGTTAAGGGTAGTATTTCTTCACTCTGATAAATTTTAAAGAAAAATCTGTGATAACACTAACTTTAAAACAAATGAATGCAGCATATACAGGTTTAGACAGTGAAATACTTAGGAAATTTAGATCTTCAAATTTAAAAAAAATCGTATTTTTCCATAAAATATATCTGATATGAGAACAAGTTATGTTAGATAATTAATGCCATGGATATTTAAAATTATATTTACGGTTTGTGATCATATTTGTCAGGAAAAAAATCTTATAACCAATTTGTGACACATTAGTTTTTCCCTATACTCTCGGACTATCTAAATTTTAAAATTTCGGGCATTACAAACACAACGTCATTATTGTTAAGGTATTAATGAATTCCGTATTTTAATCAGAGCGTTGGCTTTCACCTAAGTTGAAGTTCTGATGTTTTATGTTTTTCATGGCACTGTTCACTGCAAAATCTTTTTTATCTCGAATTTTTTATCTCGGAATTTAATTAGAAAACTCGATTTTAAGCATCTCTGTTGAGTACACAACATCTGGCGTGAAACTGAATTAATTTTAAAGGATTTATCTAGGGATACATTCAGTGATGTTTCATTCAAGATCGCTTTTCTAAACCCCCGCAGGAAGGTTTAAAAAATTAAAATATTTAGCTTAGGCTTGCTACTGAACTTTCAGTATAATATAGATTTATATTATACTGAAGTATAAATATAGATTAAGTGGTAAGTATAAATATAGATTTGTTAGCCAAAAAAAGTTCGTATATTTGATCTTCACGAAATTCCGTCCTATTTCTCTCTGTTATTCGACCTGGATCAAATTGTCAGTGTTCAGTAGTTTTAGATCTCTGCTGCTGGTGGGTTCGCTTCTTTAAACAAAAAAGACCAAATATTTAACTTTCCACCTACTCTAATAATACACGAAACTGCATATTTACCCTAGCAAATAATCATACGACCAAAAACACTACTTGGATACTCCCTTGAAATACAGGCATTCAGCGACTACAGCATACAGACTCTTTTCTGTTTGATACTTTAAGCCGAGAAGTCCAATCATTTAGCTGCCATGGACCGCACTGGAAAAAGTTGATATATATCGGGTTGCAGGAATAATTTCGAATGTAAGTGGCAACCCGTGAGCTGCGAAATAAACAAATCATAATAATAAGGTAGGTTTCATTGAAAATTCTCCGGTCTGCTCAGGTTTGACTGCTGAAAGAAATTTTCGAACTTCCCTCTAAAAGAGAAATATATGCGTTACTTCTAGCTTTGTTAATGTGTGCTTTATATAAAAAGGCGCATATACTATATCGCATATATATAAAATGTAAGTGAATCTTTCATTTACTTGATTCATTCGGCGAGCCGTCACTGCCTAATACTAATGACGGCTGATGACAAGAAATAACTTAAAAACATACTTACGTGATTATATAACATTATTAACTTGTGATTTTTGAATATAGTGATAGCGAAGGAGAATTAATTTTCCATTTTACTTGACATTTTACGCATAAAATTTCATTGTAAATGTTGATTGTAATTACAACAAATCATAAATTTCAGATACTATTCGACATTAAATTTGGGAAACTAATACTTTAATGTCTGGTTCGAACGAATTGGTTGAAATTCTCAGGGACATCTCAAGACGTTTATCCGTTGTTCTGGTTCTAATTTTACTGTTAGTTTGCTTCGCTATTGAAAATATTTCCTCACACACATAACATACTGCCGAATAGTCATGACAAAGAATAACGCGTGACTATGCTTTGAGGTATATTTATATCTTCCTAGGCATAATTTATAAAATCCAACAAAGACATGATATCAATTTTTCCTTAAATTGAATATCAGATAGCAAATCTGTCCATTATATTTGAAGATTTGTTGAAAATACCAATATCGATTGTAAGAAGAATAGAAAGATACAAATTTTTTTATTTGTTTGTAGAGACATTAGGCATTTTTGAAGCAGCAGTTGTGACAAAATGAGCAATGCCCGGTATATTTCACAAGTGCACATCAGCGTAGCCACTGAGGGAGGGTTTCTAAAATGGACCAATGAGCTTCTGTTGTTCTTGTGACGCTAAATCTTCTTGCATGTGAGCGTATGTTGTTTACGTTTTATTTTACATTTGTGTCGCAGTTATAAATGTGTGGTGTAATAGCAGAAAATCTCAAAAGTGCTTTCGTTTCATGAGTTTAATTAATCGCTGACAGTTCACTTTCGAGATTTTTATCACGCATTAATATTTGGATTGATGTTCGCGGCATATTATCGCTCTTTACATTCAGAAAATAACTCAAGCTTCAGTTAGCCTCGGATATTATGCATTTACTAACACCTGTGGATCAAGAGAATTCAAGTTTATAGTTTTTTTTTTTAAATTTTTTATTGAGCTGGGAGTGTTACAATGAATCTAATGTTTTCTTATTTCAGTGCTTGCATTCTTTTGATTTTTGAAGTGTAAGGTTCAGAATACATATTGT